CCTGTGATAGGCTGGCATCCTGAACAGGGTGTGTCCTTCCTGGTGCCCTGTGATAGGCTGGCATCCTGAACAGGGTGTGTCCTTCCTGGTGCCCTGTGATAGGCTGGCATCCTGAGCAGCGTGTGTCCTGTCTGAGATGGGCTCTTTCCAGCCTCTTCCCCAATCCTGGTCTCACCAGGATAAACCATGTGAAAATGCCCAGATTTATTATAGAATTATGTAGCTGGGTGGTCAGACCCTCTCATCCAAAGTGATCTACAGCCAAGAATGCAGGGTCAGCCGGTCCCTGGAGTGCCGGGGGGTTAAGGGCCTTACTTAGGGGCCCAACTGTGACATCACACTGCCAACCCTAAGACCTGAACTGGCAACCTTCTGATCACAAGCACTTCATCCTCACCTGCTGAGCCACAGACAGCATAAAAGAGCATAATTGCTTTGACTGACAGACATTTGGTATCAAGTTTGTGTGCTTAATTATTTTACCCCCTGCTGGGTTATTGAACTATTTCACATTTAAAAGGCACAAATTATGAATAATGGCTCGGCCTATAAGCAGCAAGAAAAATGTCCACATTCAGCTGTTAGCTGTAGTGATTTGATGGTTATTTTTACTTTTTTGACACTTTATTTGTACATACTGTGCTCTACTTGAAGGCCTGCATTAGCCGCTCCTTTCAAAGCCACAAACCCACAGGGTGTGTTTAGCATAACTGGAAAGTACAATGATAACATCAGTAGATGTGACAGGGGAAGGGGAGGGGATGTGAACAGACTCCACCTGAAAGCTGCTTAGTAGCAGCTCAGTAGTGTGTGTCTGTTAGCATGATGGTGTGATTCCTTGTCCCTGCATAGGTATGTTATGTGTGCAAGAGCGAGAGTGTTTTTGGTGTGTTATCAAGAGTGTGCGTCAGAATGAGTGCTTATGTTCACCTTTTGTAGGATCCCACCCTGTGTGTGTGGAATTGGCATAGTTATGTGCGTGACTATGCGTGTGGTCATATATGTGTCAGTATGTGTGTAATTATATATGTATCATATATGTGTCTGTATGGGTTACTGGGCTTCTGTATATGTGTGATTTTACAAGCTGCTTCATGCACCCACACATTAACTCACACACTGTAGCACTAGCACCCTGCCGTCAACACAGTCAGGCATTTCACACCACGTGCACTGTCACAAGCGACCCTTTGCCTTGGCAGCAATCCCCACATCGTGTGTCACGCCTCTGTCTCAGGACAGGTGTGATCTGGGGGAGGCCTTTTCCAAATCGGCGTGATGCTTTGTGGTTCCAGACCTCTAAGTATCTCAGGGGATTCTGAGCAGTGCATGTGTCTGTACACTCAGCACTGCACAGGGCGGAGGTCAGAGTGTGCTCAGCACTGCACATGGCCAATATCAGTGCGTGCTCAACACTGCACATGGCAGAGGTCAGAGTGTGCTCAGCACTGCATATGGAGAAGGTCAGAGAGTGTTCAGCACTGCATATGGAGAAGGTCGAAGAGTGCTCAACACTGCACATGGCAGAGGTCAGAGTGTGCTCAGCACTGCACATGGCAGAGGTCAGAGTGTTCTTAGCACTGCACATGGCAGAGATAAAAGCATGCTCTGCACTACACACAGAGAAAGTGGAGCACTGCACACAGTGTAGGTGTGTACTCACCACTGTACTTATAGGCTTTTTTGTAAATGTGGAAATGGCCGATGTCAGACTGTAGTCGTGTATCATCAGTTTTGTGCAGTAGAATGAGGTCATCAGTTTAATACAGTGATATGAGGTCATCAGTTTAGAGCAGGAATATGAGATCATCAGACTGTAGGAGTGTTGTGAGGTCACCAGTCAAACTGTAATCATGTGTCATCAATTTTGTGCAGTTATGAGGTCATCATGTTTAGCACAGTAATGTGAGGTCTTCAATTTAAAGTAGTAATGTGGAGTTTAGGTGAGTAAGATGAGCTCATCAGTAAAGGACAGTAATGTGGGGTAATCAATCTGCAGCAGTAATATGAACTCATCAGTTTAGGACAGTAATGTGAGCTCATTGATTTAGGATAGTAATGTGAGCTCATCGATTTAGGATAGTAATATGAGCATATCAGGGCAGTAATATAAGGTCTTATTCTGTAGCAGCCATGTGAGATCATCAATCAAACTGTAATCATGTATCACGAATTTTGCCCAGTAACATGAGGTCATCAGTTTAGCACAGTAATGTGGGGAAATCAGTTTTGGTAAATAATATGGGCTCATCAGTTTACCACACCAATATGAGATCAACAGTCTGCAGCAGTAATATAAGGTAATCAGTTTGTGGCATTAATATGAGGTCATCAGTTCAGGGCAGTAATATGAGGTCATCAGTCTGCAGCAGTAATATGAGGTCATTAGTCTGCAACAGTAATATGAGGTTATCAGTTTATGGCATTAATACAAGGTCATCAATTTAGGACAGTAATATGCGACCATCAGTCTGCAGCTGTAATATGAGGCCTTCAGTGCACCACTGTAATGATAATTGCTTGATCTGCTGCTGTGATGTTAGGTCTATAACAGCCCATAACAGTCTATAACAGTAGTAATATGATGTCATCAGATTGCAGTACCAATGTGAGGTCATGACTCATTCAGAAAAAGAAATGGCCATAAACAGTGAAGAATCAGCTAATTAAATATGTGCCGTGGTAAAATGTGAAATGATCATTCTGCCCTGTAGAAATAGGGGTGCCATACTATAAAGATAAAGGCTCCATTCCCTCCACTGCTGTCCTGCTTTCTGCTAAGGCTTGTCATTCATTACACATCTCCCCATCAGCTCCTCTGTGTGGCGTTTACACGCTCCTCTGTTTGGTCTCCTGTGTGAGGAGCCTACACACATCTCCCTGTCAGCTCCTCCGTGTGGCGTTTACACACTCCTCTGTTTGGTCTCCTGTGTGAGGAGCCTACACACCTCTGTGTGGCGTTTACACGCTCCTCTGTTTGGTCTCCTGTGTGAGGAGCCTACACACATCTCCCCGTCAGCTCCTCCGTGTGGCGTTTACACGCTCCTCTGTTTGGTCTCCTGTGTGAGGAGCCTACACACATCTCCCCTTCAGCTCCTCTGTGTGGCGTTTACACGCTCCTCTGTTTGGTCTCCTGTGTGAGGAGCCTACACACATCTCCCCGTCAGCTCCTCTGTGTGGCGTTTACACGCTCCTCTGTGCTGGTCTCCTGTGTGAGTTGCCTACGCACTTCTCCCCGTCAGCATGTCTCTGTGGCATTTATTCACTCCTCTGTTTGGTCTCCTCTGTGCAGTATAATGTTTAATGTCTCTTTGCCAGAGTGTGAAGTCAAAGACTTCATCGAGGTCAGGGTAACTCTCAGAGGGAGCCTTCAGCTCTGGAAGAAGCACGTTAGCATCCCAGCCGCCATGCAGAGGGGAAGGAGAGCCTGTCTTACCATCTGCGGCAGTGGCCCAGTCTTCCAGGCTCTCCTGCCCCAGTGGAATATTTATAGGTAACTGCTGCCTCCTGCAGGGGGGTGCTGATGGATGGAGGCCCCGTTTTGCCCACCCTGCCTGGAACTGAGGCCAGTTTGGCTCCTTTACCCATGGTGTTACTGGGCAGACCCAGGTGCTTGTGGAGGTTGGTCGTCGGCTGTCCCATGAGCCGCTGGTCATGCCGCTGATTAGGTGCCACTTGCAGCTGTAATCATTTCTACAGCAATAGTGTCCCTCAGCCCTAGTGGAGTCGTCACCAGAGTTTTGTGTTGATGGCGGAAGTATTCTTAGTTGAAGCACCCCCCAGTTTTACCAGTACACCAGCATTGTATATTTGAGCTTGCCATTGTGCTGCACTGGTCGTTCGGGTCTTACGAGGGGCTGGATGTGTCCGTTCTGGTGCAGCTTGCAGCAGCCCGATGTAGTTTCCATCATACACCTGGATGTGTCCATGGCGTAGGTGTTGCTGGGTCTCTGCACCTCTCACCACGCTTCTGCTCTCTTTTTGTCTTGCAGTGAATTTTGACCATTTCCAGATCCTCAGAGCCATCGGGAAAGGAAGCTTCGGCAAGGTACCCGAGCACAGCCCACTGTCTGTCACGCATCTTTCTGTCTGCGTGTGTGCAAGTGCCTGTGTGGGTGTGTGTATGTGTGTATGTGTGTGGGTGCCTGTGTGTGTGTGTGTGTGTGTGTGTGGGTGCCCGTGTGTGTGTGTGTG